TACATATAAAAAAATATATATATCTACCCGAGGGCTGGAGAAAATTTATGCCTCTTCAACTGCGCGCGGCGCGCGTATTAAATATATATAGAGAGAGAGAGAGGAGCTTCGAGACTTTATATCTCAATTGAAATTTATACGTCGATATATAGGAGCGCGGCGACAAAATCTTGCGTACATAAATTTGTGGTTCTTTTGCACCAACAAAATAAATAATAAAAAAAGAGAGAGAGAGGTTGAAAAAGTATATAGTGGAAGTTTCGGAGTCAGATGCAGGAAAAAAACGTCGCGCCGCGCGAGAAATTATTAAACGACGCGCGCTACTGTAGCGTTGTCGTATGTATGTGTGTGTGTGTGCATGTGCAACGCTGCTGCACCATCGTCAAAAAGAAAAGAGCGAGAGTAGTAGTAACCGAGGCAGAAAAAAGGCACAGCAAGACAATATATCACGCGGAGAGAGAATATCACTCGGGCCGTTCGCGCCGAGTTTTGGATTTGACTCCTACACACACACACACATAGGATAGCAGCAGCAGCAGCAGCAGTTGTGCGCAGCCGAGGCCTCTGCGTATGCAGAAAAAAATTTTTTTTTTTCGACTCCTCGTTCTCTTCGCTTTTTTTTCTCCTCGCGCTTTCGCTCGGAGCTTTTGTGTTCTCGTCCTTTGAGCGCGCGCGTCGAAGCCAGGTGCAGTTTTACGTACAGTAAAACTCAGTCGCTCGCACACATACATACAGCCGTACGCGTATAATATACATATAGATATATCATCGTATGGACGCGCGCGAATATAAGCGACTAGCGCGCGCGGCAGCAGCAGCAAAAGAGTTTAAATTTATCGCAAAGTCAGCTGACGGATTACGCGCGCGCGCGTGGGGCTATATATGAGAGATTTAAAAGCTTATACGCATATACATGCACACACACACAGAAACGCACGTGTGCCACTGCACTTTATGAGCTTTATATAGAAGCTGCGCGCCGGAGACTAGAGGGCTGTTGATGCCCGCCAAGCTGCTGCTGCTGGCGCACTAATCACTGTACTGCGCGTCTACTGACTCTCTCTCTCTCTCTACTTGCAAAGCTGAAACGCGTGTTTATCATACACGCAAGTATACTCGCGAATAGCTGCTGCTGCCGTGTGTGTGTGGGTGTGTGCTCTTTCACCTTACTGACCTTAATACCGGGGATGTGGATTTCTTTCACCGTTTCCTTTCTCTCTCTCTCTCTCTCTCTCTCTCTCTCTCTCTGTTTATTTTCATTCAGTCAGTGATTATGCTGGATCGTTACATTAATTACGATGACTTTAATGCGCAGCAGGCAATTTGAGTTCGTTAGACGACCTATCGATCGAACTTAACAATTAAATTTCTCTGATCAACTACAACTTGGAAAAAAGTGTGTGTTTTTTCGTTTAGCAATCGTTCTTTGACTATATCTTCAGAATTGAGTGAACCTTGGAAAAAGAATTGTTCGGCTCATTGTTGAAACGACGATGGTCATTGTTTCGAGAAGCGTTGCGAGCTTTGAAAACAAAACTTTTACAGCTGCGCTGCGTGTATTCAGAATATCCTGGGCTAGAATAGCACTAAGATATTGAACAACGAGGCTGACTTTGGGTGAATATATTGATTTTGGAGATGCTTCCCACACAGCACGGAAAATTTTTTAAAAGATTTCAACGAAACATATTAATGAAAAGTTTTAGAAAAGAAGTTGAAACAATTCAAAATCATTGCAAAAAGTTATAGTTAAAAGTAAACAATGACAAATTGTTGGAAAGTTTACGAAAAGTTTCACATATATCAACGATAAATAAGGACATGAAATGTTTTTGAAAAGTTTCTGATACGTAACGCGATATATTTCTTAGTGAATGAATAATTAGATGATAATTTAAATGTAACTTATTGGATAATATATAGTGGTTGGAAATTTTTTTGCCACTTGCGAGTTTTCAATACTCCATCTGTTGATGTAATTAAAAAGCTCACAATAACATAATATGACACCTTTGATTGCAATGAATCTTGTTACAATACAAGTGGAATACTAATCCTAAAATGTTCCAACAAAATTATAACTAATTTTTGAAAATAACAACAAAATTTCACAGTAAAATCGAAGTCGAAGCAAATTGATAAATTGAATTCAAAATCACTAAAAATGACAGACGAACTTAGTTTTTCACATACGGCGTCTATCGATACAAGATACTCGAATCATTAAAATTAAATTTATAATTTCAATTGAATTGACTAATTTACTTGGACTTCAATTATTTCTTAGCTGTTTGTTGGCGTTTTTTGATTTCTACGATTATCGCGTTCACTCAACGCGCGTAAAGAAGTTTTACTTTCCCAAAAAAGTCGAGATAATTAACCTCCGATACGATTCTCTCTCTCTCTCACTCTTACTCTCTTTAACTAGCCGTCGTATATAGCCTCTCGCTCGCTAAGCGAACATTGACGAGCTATCAAAACTTGGCTCGAGTAAAAAAAAAAAAAGGAAAAGGAAAACATATATATCGTGTGCTCGAGCTTTTGCGCTCTCGACGTAGCTCCAATTATCTCATCGTCGGCATAAAATTCGCCTTTACCATCGTCGTAAATGTGTGTGTGTGAGTGTATACATTAAATATATGGTTGAGAAAAGCTATATATAGGCAGGGTGGGGGGAGGGCGGGCAACTAAAGTCGATCTCTCGCACCGAAGCAAATGCAATATTATGCTTTTCAATTTTCCTCGCCTCTGCACACGCGAGCGGGAGAGTATAGAGAGAGAGCTCTGCGCTCGCGCGGAGAGAGAGCTTTAAAAAAACAAACTACACGCGAAGCGAGCTGGAGAGAGGCTCGAGAAACTTATATAGCAAAGAATGATCGATCGACATTCGGAGCTTGTATTATATAGATGGTGTACAGAGGGGAGGGCGAAATTAACAATTCAGCTAGTCTTTGGCACATAGCGCGCGAGGCGCGAGCTATATATACATACGTAAAACGAATTTTAATTCCGATCTTATTATCATCGCGGACTTATTCTACACTTCTCGCTCTTTCTCGGCTGACGATCTAGCGAGTGACGTATTAAAACTCATTCGAAATGAAAAACAATCGATCTCTTGGCGCGCTCCGAGCTTCATCACGAAACCATCTTCTCGCTCTCTTTTTCTCTTTCTCTCTCGTTGCAGCAGATCTCTCAGGCTTTCTGCTTCTCTAGCTCTTAGTTCTCTCTCTCTCTACTTTGCATATAGCCAGCGTGAAACTTTTCTTACTCGACGTAGCTACTGCCACTGCCACTGCTGCTGCTGTGCCTTTATATAATATAAGTTTCAAGTGTTTATCCTAATTGAGATCTCAAGAATCCCGCACAGTCGCGCGCCACTTATATATATCTCTCGCTAGTTATTTTATTTATTATTTTTTTCTTCGTCTTCTCCTTCTAAAAAAAAAGGACATCTCATACTCTATACGCAGATAGCTCGCCGCGATACGACAGCTCTTATAATCCCTCCCGAGTGTGCGTCGCTGCGACTATTTTTCTTCTTTTTGAGCGCGCGCGCGCGCGTGTACACGTGATTTTTACGCGACGAGACTCGGTTCGCTCTGCCTTGTTTTGTTTTTTTTTGTCGCTGTAACGAGAATCGTATTAGCCTAATAACACCGCAGGCTGCGCTGCTGTGCATTACAGCAGTAGCAGCACAGTACATCCTGCAAAAAGCACACACCAGAGCCTGTGCAGCTTTTTTTTTTGTTTCGTTCATCAGAGTCGCAGCGCACCGGGCATACACATACACACACACACACACGTGGAGGGAAACACGCAGTCGTAATGTAATATCAGGGACACGCGAGATTTCCTTAATTGTCCGACCGATTGCTATCGATTCAAATTATACGCTCGGCTCGATATAGATATATAATATACGGCAGCGAAGCGTGCAGCTGCACATGCAGCAGCGTATATATATATATATGTAGACCGCTATGGTCTGCGCGCTGAATACTCGATGTGTGCCTGTGGGAGCGTGAGTGCCTTTTTCTGGCATCCGCAGAACTCCACTGCTGCCGTTTGCTGGTGTTATTATCGCGTGCGCGCATTTTTTTTTTTTTTATTTCGTTATTTTTTGTTTGCGGAACTGTAGTGCACTCACACGCATATATAGCAGCACACACTCGTGGAAACACTCGCGGCACGATCGCTGTCAAAGATACACGTGCATACATTCCTTTTTTTCGCGGTATTTCGGATCGCGTTATTTTTCCCTATTACTCGCGTCGCGGAATCATTTAGAGGAGAAGCGGGATTGATTCGAGTTTATTACAACCCTCATACGCGATTCTTTATGCCTTAATCAGTCGAGCGATTAAACGCGCGCCTGACTGGCAGGCAGGTAGCTCTCCGCAGGGCAGGTGGAGCTGTGCAGAAAAGTTCGCGCGCGCGCGCGTGCTGTGTAATCATCGAATCGGTTTTGAAGCATGAACGCAGCTCTCCATAGGAGCTGGTCCGCGCGTGGAAGCCTTCAATTTAAACCCGAACAATTATAGGATAAAAAGGCACGAATGATTTACGTTCTTTTTTTTCCCCTAGCTCCCTCTCTCTCTTTTCTTTACCTCTTTTTTTTCTCCGACGCAGCCGCTCACTCTTTCCAATTTTCCAGGCCAAAAAAAGTAATTATCGGACGAGCAAATTGATCAACGGGGTAGGAGGAGGTGGTCGGTCGGTCGATCGGTCGAAGTAGCTCGCCGCGTGTGCATCATGCAGAAATACGAAACTACCGGCCTGAATTATATCGATAAGAGAGAGAGCGAGAGAGAGAGAATTTTCAATATCCTTGAGCTCGAGGCATCGTCGGATGGAGAAAGAAAAAAAAGGTAGAAAAGCAAAAAAGGGGAGTGGAATAATAAAAGCACACACACAAACATACATCCGGCAATTTTGAATGGGGTATAGCGAGTCGCGCATTCATCGCACAATAGACACCGCCGCGAGATAGATATACATTAAAAGTAGGGTGAGAGAGACGTCTCTACGCGAACGTAGGTGTAATCACGCGGGTGGTGGCCTACACGTAAGCCTCGAACAACAACAACAACAACAACAACAAAAACGACGACGACGACGACAAAGAGGAAAAAAAAAGTGACACTCACCGTCCTGCCGAGCACGGTCCTCACGGTCTCGATCCGCTGCTGCGTCGGCCAGCGGGCCCACAGGTACACGAGCGCCGTCAACAACAACGCGCACGTCGCGCAGCGCCAAGCGTGACGGCCGAACAGGCCGCTGGTGCGCGCCAGCAGACGCTTGGCGGGCCGCGTGGCCAGCACCAGCTGGGGCGCGAGCTCGAGCTTGCCCGCCCTGCCCAGGATCGCGGCCAGTTGGCCCCTGGCGAGCTCCACCTCGTCTTGCTGCTGCTGCTGCTGCTGATCGTGTTCGTGTTCATGCTGCTGATTAACCGTAGTAGTTGACGGCGGCACTACTTCACCCGTCTCGTCGTCGTCCTGCATCGTCGCACCCCAGGAGCGGACTGGAAGCGTCGAGCGGATATTCATCCTGCCCATGCCGCGCTGCCGTCTGCAGCGGCAGTAGTATGAGCGCGGTATAGTCAGTCGGTCTGTGTGTGCGCGCGCGCGCACCCGACCTATACACCACCCTCTCTCTCACCCTCCGTAGAATAGCGCCGGGTATGTATATAAATTTTTCCTCGCCTCGTGAGCGGGTGTGAGCGCCTGCGCGAAGATTTACCAGTACTACTGCCGAGTGCCGCCGAGTGCCGGCGCGCACTGCCGCTACTACTACTGCTAGTCTGCCGCGCCGCAGAGTCGATGAGAATTTGTGTCGGTCTGCTGCTGCATGGGCGTATATAAGAGCTGCTTTTGTTTGATTCTTGCGGACTGTTGAAGCTCTCTCGCGTACTCGTTTTTTTTTCCTTCCTTTTTTTTTCGTTTCGTATCCTAGCGTGGCTTTCTCTGTTTTCTCTCTCTCTCTCTCTTTCATCTTTTTCTTCGTTTTTCGCGTTGCCAGCTCGCACACAGCTTCGCGTAACACCACAGAGATCGCTCGCGCGCACGGATCCGTGTATATTTCCTCTCTCTTTCTACCTCCTGTATCCTACCTTTACTCTTTTCCCTCTCTCTTTCCGACCGTTTGAACCCCGATTTTAACGTACCCGCGAAAATAAGCGTATAATTGCGTCGAAAACCGTAACGAAGGCTTATTCATGCGCGCTCACGTACCATACGTACAGACGCGCGGCATTATAATACGGTGCGCCTACGGGTCACGCGCGCCTATACTCCGATTGCGACGCGATTATCGTCATATTACGCGCGTTTAATTTATCCTCCCCGAAATTTGCTCGAAGATATTATGCACGTCCTGTACACCGAGGGTGTATATAGCTGAAAATTGAAATCGCGCGAGCTGTCGAACGACACGTATGTATATCGTTGCTGCAGAGAGGATCGACGCCGTATTTAATATTATGATAAATTGTAGATACTCAATGGTGCCTACGAAGAAAATCCCCCTTTCAAAACAGCAGCATATTAGTTTTTTTATACAAGAATTACTCCGCTTTTTTAGATCTAGTCATTACAAGTTTATGGAAAAGTTTGAATTACGAATCGAATTAGCGATTTTTTTTCGCCGCATTTTGAAAAAAGAAAGAGAATTTCTTCGATACAGGAATTTGTCTGCATTTAAAAAAGATACATAGTCTTCGTAAGCATCGTTGATATATTCTCTTTCTGTCTCTCTCTTTTGCTGCGAACGAGATCGCTCATAGCTCGCCGGCTAACTACATTATACGCGATTCCTCAAACGGCATCTCTCTCTCTCTAGTACGCGAAGCATATTCTCAAGGAGCCACGGCAATTCGTTGTAAATTATATAACGTGTACTAGACTACCAGCCAAGAGAAAGAGAGAGAGAGAGCCTCAGAGCTTATGTAGGATCAAACTCGCCGAACGCAGGCCCCTGCACATTTCTACTCCTCCTCCTCCTTCCTCCTTACTTATCCTCGACTTGCTTCCTGGGGAGAGGTATACACACAACTATTGCAATAATACGCGAGCCGAGGACCAAGGCAGCCGTGTCTAATCCCTTGATTCGCTTTTCTTCGACACTTTAACACGGGTAAAATTCCTCCGCTGTACAGCAGCAGCAGCATTTCGGAATTACTTCCAGCCGATTAGATATCTTCCTCTCTCTCTCTTCCTCTCGTTACTTGTCATCGATATATACGCGCGCGCGCGCCTCAAAGACGTAACTCAGATAGTCGAACGAGTACGTATATAACATCGGCAGACGAGCATTATATTATATCCCGCGCGCTTTTAATTAAGAAAATATGCCTCGCTCGGCGGAAACGTATTAGCCCCCCCCCCCCCCCNNGCCCCCCCCCCCCATGTTATTCATACGTATGCTCAGACACGTGTATAAGGGACCGTTTGATTTCCTTCGAACGCTCGCGTATAATTCTCAAAGCTCCGCTGCCAAAGTCTCTCTACTCTATATCTCGGGCTCTCGTACGTATACTACTACTACTACAGTCGAGAGATGGAGATATTATTCCTGCTACGTATAGCGTATAGCACGGTATAAGGATCTGGCGTCGCGGCGCACAAAGTTGTGCAGAGCTCGTCGTACACATACATAGTTACTACCGTGACGTTACGTCCGCATGGCAAACTAATCTAAAGTAGGTGAATGTGCACACGCCGCTTATGTGTATATTACATGTACGTGTGTATGTGTGAGTGTAAACACACACAGAGTTCTTCGAGACCAACTTATATGTATATACTCTCATGAGTCACGGGGCGCGCTCTATCCTTTTGCAGTCGAGGAGCGACGCGCGGAGCTTGTGCGAGAGAGAGAGCACATGAGTAGCCCCGTCGATAACACTCCTTGCTGCTGTTGCCGCTGCCTCTATGTCTAGTAGTGCTATTGCTACTACTTACTGCTGTACCACTGCTCGTGCACTTCGAGGCTTTTTTTCCTTTTCCTTTTTTTTTTCCTCAACTCACTCTCACTTGAGCGTTCGAGAGGCCACCTCGAGCAAGGCACGTATAAATAATATATATAAATTTTTTTTTTGCAGCACAACGGGACATTTTTCAGAATACTTTTTTTTTTAACTTCCACCTTTTTTTTGTCAAGATTACGGTGTACGTCGATACGACTATATATATGAGCAGTTTTTTCATATATGTACAACTTTTGTGCGGGGGGTTCTCGGATCTGCCCCAAAATTTAGTATGTTATTTGGGTATGTGAAAATAGCCTTCAGGTAAATTTTTAGCCCGCTAGGGGCCTTAGGGCCCAAATTTGGGCCCCTCGAAGGTCCAAAAATAGCCGTTTTTACCTATTTTTGCGTATTATTCAAATATTTGTAACTCGGGCACCGGTGCATATTTTTCAACTCTGAGGGTCGCATTTTTTAGGTCAAGACATGTACTTTTTGTAAAAAAATTATGTAGAGCTCGATAGACCAACCCCCGGTTATGGGGGGGCAATGAAGGGGGATGAAAAATCGCAAAATTGACGTTTTTTAGCTTTTTTTGAATTGATGCAGAAGGCGACTGGATTGACGTATTTACTTTTGCAACGTCTCATTTTAAAGGTATTTTCATTACCTTTAAATTGCCGTGCGCAGAATTAAGATTGGTTCAAAAACGACGGAGATAGAGCTGTTTAAAGGTGTCAACATTATGAAAAAAGGCGTTTTTTCGAGATTTCGATAAGCTGTAACTTTTTTCTAGTAACATGAATCTCTTTGAAATTTTATGTGAAAGTAGTTGATTACATGTAGTTTGAAGCCATGTAGGTAAGGATCTTGGTATTTGCCTCTATAACCGAAAACGAGGCCCCCGAAATCCGGCACTTTAGCCCTTATATAGGCAAAATACATGTTAAATTGGGCGGCAAAACTATTTGGTAACTCCTGAAATTATCGCAAAATAAACATAAAAAAAAAATCAAAAACCCCATATTAAACGTATTTTTCGACGAGGAATCCAATGGTAACCTCGAATTTGACCTTGAACATAACCTCTAAACTATAGCGAACCAAAATTGATTTTTCGCACGGTGACCCCCTTTTTTTATTTCAGATTTGAAAAGAGCGGAAAATTTCACGTTCAAATACATATTTCGTTTTTTTTTTCAAGGTAATTTTAAGGGCCCCACAGATCAAGAATAAACTCTTTGGCTGAGTTTAATATTAGTTTTAATGGAGCCTTCATTTTCAAACTGTGGGGCCCTTAAAATTACCTTGAAAAAAAAAACGAAATATGTATTTGAACGTGAAATTTTCCGCTCTTTTCAAATCTGAAATAAAAAAAGGGGGTCACCGTGCGAAAAATCAATTTTGGTTCGCTATAGTTTAGAGGTTATGTTCAAGGTCAAATTCGAGGTTACCATTGGATTCCTCGTCGAAAAATACGTTTAATATGGGGTTTTTGATTTTTTTTTTATGTTTATTTTGCGATAATTTCAGGAGTTACCAAATAGTTTTGCCGCCCAATTTAACATGTATTTTGCCTATATAAGGGCTAAAGTGCCGGATTTCGGGGGCCTCGTTTTCGGTTATAGAGGCAAATACCAAGATCCTTACCTACATGGCTTCAAACTACATGTAATCAACTACTTTCACATAAAATTTCAAAGAGATTCATGTTACTAGAAAAAAGTTACAGCTTATCGAAATCTCGAAAAAACGCCTTTTTTCATAATGTTGACACCTTTAAACAGCTCTATCTCCGTCGTTTTTGAACCAATCTTAATTCTGCGCACGGCAATTTAAAGGTAATAAAAATACCTTTAAAATGAGACGTTGCAAAAGTAAATACGTCAATCCAGTCGCCTTCTGCATCAATTCAAAAAAAGCTAAAAAACGTCAATTTTGCGATTTTTCATCCCCCTTCATTGCCCCCCCATAACCGGGGGTTGGTCTATCGAGCTCTACATAATTTTTTTACGAAAAGTACATGTCTTGACCTAAAAAATGCGACCCTCAGAGTTAAAAAATATGCACCGGTGCCCGAGTTACAAATATTTGAATAATACGCAAAAATAGGTAAAAACGGCTATTTTTGGACCTTCGAGGGGCCCAAATTTGGGCCCTAAGGCCCCTAGAGGGCTAAAAATTTACCTGAAGGCTATTTTCACATACCCAAATAACATACTAAATTTTGGGGCAGATCCGAGAACCCCCCGCACAAAAGTTGTACATATATGAAAAAACTGCTCATATACAAGTGTTTAATCTTATTCCCGAGCTTAAAAAAGAGGGAGAGAGAGAGAGAGAGAAAGACAAAAAGCTGGCTCGCAGCTCCGATGCGATTAAAGCGGCCGAAAGGTGTGTGTTTTCTATAAGGTTTCCGCAAGGAAGTCGTGAGCTAGAGCGACTGTAAGAATGAATAGGATCGCGCGCGTACAGCTCCTGCGAAATAAGAAAGAACACGCGGGAGTACTTATTTCCGACTTGTCAACAAGCTCTCGCGCGGCCCCCGCGCGCAAGAAGCCGAGACACAAAAAGAAAGTAGGTAAAAAAAGAAGAAAGAACAAGAAGGAATACGTATATATATCTGTACGAGCATTCCAAGCTCGCGAGAATAAGAAGTCGAAGAAAAGGGCGCGGAAGAAGAGAGAAAAAAAAAGGAGGAAAAAAAAGTAGTGGAAGAAGAAGAAGGAGCCGCGCTCGAATTGTGAGCGAAGAAGAAAGAGAAATAGCGCGGGCGTATATACAGCTGATTTTCTGAAGGAGGTGAAAGACGGCGGCGCGCGAGGGGTCAGCTGCTGCTGCAGGAAGGCGGCAGAGACGAGGGGGATTCAATTCCGAAGTGTAAAACTTTTCCAAAGCTGCGAGCGCGCGCTTGCAAATTTACATTCGGACCGAAGCGTGGACGCGAACTGCTGCTGCTGAGCGGAACGGTGATGAATGTTTCATTCGACGCGTTTTATAGATATATAAAAGTACACGGGCTCGCGGCGCACTTGTTGTACTGCTGTACGCATAATGTAAAATAGTTTGTTTTGCTCGGGTACGCGCGACACGTTTATAATCGCTCGAGTCGCGCGCGAGACATTACGCGTACAATGAAATTTGCGTCGCGCCGACAACGAATCGAATCAGGCTCGAGCGACAATCGTCAACAACGATATAACAATTGCTACGGTTAAACCGGTAAAACTCGGGTATGCTCGTGGCGGGGGTGGTTCACAAAATCGAGATATTTTTGCCAAAGATAAATTTGCTTCGGCTCTTGCGGGCTGTACCGCGAAGGCCAATAGATATACATATATAGAATTTAATACGATTGACGCTGAAAGCTCCAAGTTCCACGCTCGTTCGCTCGCGCAAGCACATAGCGTACATAGATGCAGCTCAGAGAGACAGAGAGGAGAAAGGCTAACAATCCGATTAGAGACCGCCACGACGCGTGTTCAAGTGTCTTTACCCGTGGCAGAGAGAGACTTTGACTTGTCAGACGTGCGCGCGTGCCATTATACACGTGTGTACGTGTGTGTAGTGTAGGGCACACACAGACACACACACATCATAGATAGATGGATAGATAGATAGTCGAGAGAGATATTCGAGGAGCGAAATACAAAGACCGGAGCCGTAGTCAGAGGGAGCGAGGCCAATCAATTGGGCGTGCTGCGAGCGAGCGACTGATAGAGACCGACGAAACACGAGAGTTAAACGGATTACTCGATACATACATAGAAATTGACAGCCAGGGTGTGCTCGTTACGTCGTTATACATATATACACGAAGAAATTCGCGCGCTCGAGCGTTTCAGGGGGGGGGGGCTTTTTCGAAAAGAGCATCGTGCCAAAAAGGTAAAGGTGAAAATGAAAATTGCCAACCCGACGAAATTCTCGTTGCATGTAAATATCGGATCGATGTTTTTCAAGAGACGGAGAGCCGTTATGCAGAGACGCCTTTTCGCAGCTCTCCCGAAACTGCATTTTTGGAGCAAAAAAGCAAAAGTGCAAGAATGGCTTTATACCAGAGACGAGCAAGCGAGAGCCGTGCGCAGTGTACGCAGTGTATATAAGGTAGCAGAGCTTAAACGTGTGCAGCTAATTAAATAAGAGCGGAGAAGATTAGTGGAATTTCGGTGCAAGGTTGCGAGATCCTGTAGGAACGGACGGAGAAAGAGGGAATTTTCGGAGCCTACCCTCCCTAGTTTTCGCAAGCGCGCGAGATGTATGCGTAAAATTTAGCCTTGGCTTCGGTGACGAGATCGTCGTCGAGAGACTATTTCGAATTATTCGATTCGTCATTTTTTTTACATACGCGTCGTGTCTTCGTTCTCTGATTTTCTAATAACAATATTAGTTCAAAAATGGATATTGAACTGGAGTCAGTATAACTGTTCATTATTGGAAATTATAGAAAAAGTTTAAATATGCTAATAATCTAATTTTAATGTTATATCTATCATATAATAAATATATAATATCAAATACATTGTAGTCTTCTAATTAAAAACAATAAAGTTTAAATAGAGTTTTTGAATTTAAAGTCTAACTTGCTAATACATGTTAATGAATCAAAAATGATTTTTTTATATCCTTATTTATTTCAATAAACTATGAATAAATTAAGTTTCGCATAAGAGTACCATATACGCATTTAAAAATTAAAATTTCTAAATTCATTCTTCAAGAATCCCATTTAAGTTATTATTAAACTTATTATTACTAAAAGCTATTGCTCGATTGAGATAAATTTGTAAAAATAGTATATTTTGCTCCAAGGAAGGGAAAAACTTGAATAATAAACGCGGGCTATGACACTATTTCTTTTACTAGATCGGTGCCAATGCACTAGCTGGGAAATTCGCAAAAAACTGTGAGTAGCGAAAACAAAAAATTTCATAGCCCGCGATTATTCCTACATACTTATTCGTTTGTCACAAAATATACCTATTAACGAATGAATATCGTTGCATCGCATTTTCACAGATACTTTATTGTTTTTCCAGTTGTTCCACTGTTGGCCGAATCTCTGAACTCCGTAGATCTGCTTCTGCCCCCGGTGGCAGCGGTATACTCCGTTCTATGGCGAACCTCATCAGAGCCTGGCACTTCTTATTCAACAAGATCAACTCTTTAAGCATCTTGTCGTTTTCTTCCTGCAGCTGCTCCAACTCGTCGTACTCTTGGTCTTTTTCAAATTCGAGCCCACCTTCTTTCTCAACTCGCTCTCTGTCACGATTAGCTGCGTAATCTTGATTTTTCAGTTTCCTGCGGCGAGATCTCAGGATCTGTTTTTGATCGTCCGACAGGTCAAGCGAATTCATCAGTTTGTTCATATCCTTCAAGTCGTACGAGATAAGAACATCGTCGCTTACTCCGAAAAGAGGTGGGGATGTCGGAGGATCCAAGGGCTGGTTCTAATTTATCGCGCACAAAATTCACGTGTACAAACATTGCAGAGTATTATTTTCCGATTGAGTTTAGAGAATACTTACCGTTTCTTCAGGTACACCCAATCTGGATGGCCGTGAAACTTCCGCACGATCCATCTTTCATACATCCACTTTACTGGGTTGGGTTTGTGCGCGATGGGAGCAGACCAATTGCGGTTAAGTAAATCGCTTCGATGTTGGCTCGTTATTCTCACTCGTAAAAGTGCGGCAGCCCGTGTGACAATCGGAGCGAGAGTGAAAGGTATTTACATCGGCACTTGTCAACATATCGCGTCGGTACTCGGCACGCGCTGATCAAAATATTGTTCGACGCACGCGCATCCTTTCGTGTGTCTGCTGCGTTCAACATGTTGTCAATGAGGCTCATGAGTCGGTACTAATTTTTTTCACGCTTATTGCTCGTGTTCATTTTTTAGGGCTATGTCTTTCGAAAATTATGAGTGACTGTTTTTCATAAGAGCCAGTGTAAAGCAAACAAAGAATGTCTTCATGGTGTATCTCGGATCATGATCCGAGCACAGTGTATTCGTATCATGGTCATGGATCGAGAGTATTCGTTAAATGAATCTCAAATTTTTTAAGGAGATCTGGACCCCAAATTTTTATCGACCGAGACACGCAAAGTTTCTTTTATTTTTAACTTTTTCTGTAATTCGAATTTCGACAAATGGCTCTATGGTGACCTTCATTTTGTTGCTAAGAATAAGCAGTTAAAATTGCAGCCCATTCCATTGCGTAAATTTCCCGGAAAACTGGATTAAAATTTTTGATCCTGACTTTTGATCCACGGCTTGATCAAAATTTTCAATCCAATTTTCCGGGGAATCTGCTCAATGGAATGGGCTGTAATTTTAACTACTTATTCTTAGCGACAAAATGAAGAACGCCATAGAGCCATTTGTCGAAATTAAAATTACAGAAAAAGTTAAAAATAAAAGAAACTTTGCGTGTCTCGGTCGATAAAAACGTGGGGTCCAGATCTCCTTAACCCATCTGATACCAAGAGACCCTATTTTCGACTCAGTTTTCCACGCGTTCTTTTTTCGTGAAACCATGGCCGAATAAATGTGAGATACCATATTTAATGAGACGATTTTAAAGACACTTTTGGTTAAACGAACGAGACAGAGTTTTTGAACCTTTTTACTCAAAATAATCGTTTTTTTTTTCACCAAGACTAGGCATTCGAAAATTCCTGAAACTCTGCGTCTGGTGGTATACAGGCCTAAACTGAAAGTAAGTAGCGTTGGTTATTCCAGATTCGAAATGACAGCCACAAAAGTAGCTGATTGCAGCCGAAAATCTATAAAATTCAAACGTATCGAGACATCAGATTAATTGCATGTTGCTGTTAACAGCATGGGGCTAATCAGAGAGAACACGTATCCGCCTGCTCCAGGGAAATAAAGCCGATCTGTTTAAAGATGTAATATTTTTTGGCTCGAAGGCCAGCGTTTACACATTCTTCCCTTCAGAAAAAAAATGAACGTATCCAGTCTTCTTATTAATTTAATCGGTACTGTTATGAGATAGCAGCTGATAAGAGTGAACACGACACAGTCCGTTACACAGAGATAAAGCCGACCTATTGGAAGACGTTCTGATTTTTATTTTCAAAATCGGCCTTTCATTCGTTTTGTACGTTGAAAAAGAAAACGAATCCAGTCGACGTCTTAATTTATTCAGTATTGTGAGGGGAAAGCGCCATGATTGGAGTGAACACGAAGCGGCCTGTTACACAGAGATAAGACCGACCTATTGAGAGACTTTCTATTTTTTCAAAAATTCAAGTAAATCAATTTACAATAGAAAAAAAGCGCTGCAAGATGTGTTACTTAAGTCACAATTAAAGGTTAAAAATTAAATCAATAAATAAATAAATAAAATAAACCAAATAAAATGAAAAAGTATTTGACGTTGTTGATGATTTTTGTTTTTTATGCTCCGACGCCAGAAGTGCAACGTCAAATACTTTTTCATTTTATTTGGTTTATTTTATTTATTTATTTATTTTTTTAATTTTTTTCCGTAAAATGTGATTTTAGTTACACATCTTGCAGCGCTTTTGCTGCCTCATAGAGGAAGCTTTGTGACGGACCGATTTTCGACTTTTATAACTAATAATCGTAGAGTACTTTTACAAATATATTCTTAAACTAGATCGAATTGCTGACATATTTCTGTATGTGTCAAAATATTGTTTATGGATGGATTAAGGATGAAGCCAGAAAATTTGATTTAGCGATGTTCGAACAAAAAAAAAATTTTTTTTTTATTTTAAAATTTTTTTTTTTTCTTTTTTGTATCGTTTGATTGAGAAATAATTTATGATCGAAACTGTTTTGTGAACAAATTAGAAAAGATGATATTAATATTTCCAATAGTACATTACTGCCCTAGGCCGCTAAAAACAAAAAAGTCCCAGAGTACGTGTAATTAGTGTCCGAGGCGAAGCCGAGGCCGATAATCACGTGCTCTGGGACTTTCTTTTTTTGCGGCATAGGCCTGTATACTATTATTCATAGTGGTGGTATGATTGAAACTGTTTTGTGAACAAATTAAAAAATATGATATTAATATTTCCAAATTATTTTCAAGTTAAAAAAAAAGTATGAGGAAGCTACTTGCCAATACATTGGCAGCGGTTTTTTTTTATTGTAAATTGATTTACTTGAATTTTTTGAATCGAATTACTCGAATTTTGTTTTGATTTAATTACTCGAATTTTAGATTAAATTACTTGAATTGTTTAATTTTCAATTCTATTTTCAATATTCATAAAGACGTTACACATCTTACAGCTGTTCTTATACAGCTCATTTTGTTTATAAATGCAGACAAATTCCCGTATCGAAGAAATTCTCTTTTTTTCAAAATGCGAAGAAAAATATCACTCATTCGATTCGTAATTCAAACTTTTCCAAAAACTTGTAATGACTAGATCTTAAAAAGCCGGGTAATTCTTACATAAAAAAACTAAAATGCAGCTGTTTTAAAAAAGGGAATTTCTTCGTAGGCAGCATCGAAATAATCTCCATTAAACGCATTCTCGTCGTATTAATTATCCGCGAGTGTAATGTGACAACTTAAATTCATTTAAAATTCGACGAAGAATCCGAATATTGAATGATTTCACTTAAGTTTTCTGGAAAGTCATTGAAATTGAAAATTAAAAACACAAAGATGATTCAGTTCTAATGGAATCTGTGAAAAAACGACTGCTACATATACATGATGTCATTCTTCATTACAATGCTCGGCGTATGAGGCCCATGGGAGTGTTACTCCCCCACTCCCGACTCTCTTACACTTATCATACGCTTGTGTGTGATCCTTCCCTGCGCGTATTTTAGCATTCGCACGCGCCAAGCTATCTTACATGGTCATAAATTTATATAATTATATTGCTGATGATGATAGCTCTCGAGCTTCGCGTACATTCCAATATACTCATAATTGGTCAGTGCAATCGACCATAGTGTCATTAGTAGTCAGCCAGGCCGTGCGCGAGCATGACGTATTTTTTTCGAGATGAAAAAATAAGAAAAAAAAAATACATATATTTGGGTGATGTACTTATCTCAATGTCAAGAACATTAGAGAGATGCATTGCAACTTCACAAAAGCGATCTGACGATATCATTTAAAAATCTATTGAGTTTCGAAACAGTGCTTTACAACGAAAAAATTTTATTCAACAATTTGAAAGTGTTACTCTCCGCATTAATTGAAAAATTTTTTTATAATAATAATCGCAATTTGGTGACCCAAATGTGTCAGGTGTTGTAATTTATTTTTGTCCATTGTTGTATGTGCAGGATAATACACTGGAAAAAGCCCCGGGGCCCGTTAGTTAACGCGCGAAAAAAACTAACAAAACAATCGAGCATTTTGGTCGTTAATGGGTTAACAGAAGTTTCTCTGTAAAATGTTAGCCTTTTAGGCGCCTGAGAAGTAAAAATATAGTCATAGGAAGGTTGAAAAACGACGTTACATTAATTTTTTTTTGTGCTATTTCTATCTTTATACACCTGTACGTTGCGTAATTTTGCTGCTATTGAGATGAACGAGTAACCAATTTTTTCGTCTTTTAAAGACGTTTTTAACCATATAAATTTGTATAGGGGTTTTAAAATTTTTACTGAAGCTACAGTATAATACGTCCAACCTTTTGAGTCGCGAATAATAGTTTATTGTTAAATCCCGTCCTCGGGATGTAACACGAAAAACGAACATTAGTAGAAAATAAAAACATTCATTACGTAGCAATAATTCATTTTTACAAATGAAATACGTGTTAGGAAATTTATAAGAGGCTTACAATGTTTTGAAAATTAAAATCAAAGTTTTAGAGTGGAAAAAATTTTAATAGCATCAAAAGTACTACAATTATATGTTTATGGTCAGCATGAACTGATATTGTAGTTCCCAAGCAAATATGGCCGATTCTCTGTGGAATCGAATGGCCAAAAAAATTTTTTTGGGCCAATTCGACTTGACAGAGAATTGGCCATATTCATTCATCGATGAGATTATTATTCTTCTGCCATTTTACATTGTTTGACTAGCTTTATCACATTCAATATCGTTATTTCTTCTTCTTTTTTATCGTCCTTAGGAATTTGAAGTTCAGTCGCCAAACAAATATTATACAAATTCTCGTTCGTGAACGTATCATCGATGATCATTTCACAGCACTCGATCGGCAGTCGATAATGTGTCAGCTCCCAGTAGCAATCGAGCGCCCAACGTTGGAAAAATCTTCTCGAAAGCTTCTCGCACACGTTCGCGACGCAGGCGTCCAGAAAATCTTGTCGAGTTGGTCGGTTGGTTCCTGCAAAATCCCACGTGCGTGCGCATTCGGAGCCATCCCTGTATGCGAGCAGTTTTTTCGCCTCCTTGGGTGCTAGCGGGAACAGATCGTAAACCGATAGACTAGGAGTCGTCTTTGTCTGGTTTTTTTCTGCCTCTCGATCCAATCTGTTATTACGAAGAGATTCTTCCATCTTCGGAAAAATCTTCGTGTCTTTTGCCCAACTCGCGAACTGCTCGTCGTCGTACCATTTTTGCAGATCCGATGACTTCTCGAACAATCCGTAATCGGCGAAGCATTTCATGATAGCAAGGGCCTCGCTTCGGTAAAATTCGTATCCTCTGTTCTCAAAATGGTCGATGACGGCCACCAGGCCACAGGCCAGTTCCAATTTAAGCTTGCACGATTTATTTTTTTCGGGGTTGAATCTCTCGATAAAATAATTCGTGGGAAAAACATAGTTCGACAAATCAGCACCGTGATCCAAAATTGCATCAACCACATAGGGCAAGAGATTTTGCACAGCTAGTTGCAGCGGCGTTAGGCCATTCTTATCCGCGACGTCGATCTGCACTGTCTGATCTCTGTCATCGCTGACATCGAAAAGTATCCTCGCCAATCCAGCGTCGTATTGCTTGTCGCAAATTATGAGCAGAGGTGTCAATCCCTCGGCATCGGCTAAATTAGGATCTGCTCCTGCTCTCAGCAGTAACTCGGTACACATCTTATTGTCGCCGCGAATAGCCAAATGCAATGGTGTATTTCCCCTATTATCCTTAGCGTCTACCTGCACCGTTTGATTATTTGCGTCGTTTATCTCGAAGAATGTCTTCACAAAGCTAGTTTGAATCTTGGGATTTTCGCATATCATGTGCAGAGGGGTGGATCCCTCAGTGTTGGTCAAATTTGGATTGGCGCCTCTTTTCAGCAGCGATGCGGCATCTCTACTGACCCAATTGCGCAAAGCCAAGTGCAACGGCGTGTTTCCAAACATGTCCCGAGCATCGACTTCTACTACTCGCGACTGATTTGCTTCTTTGCTGATCTTGAAGAATAGCTCGATCATGTCGACATACCAGAATGTCTTGCAAATAATATGCAGAGGGTGGGTTCTATCCTCGTTGACGATATTCGGGTCGGCGCCTGCTCTGAGGAGCAACTCAGTGATTCTCTGGTTCTCGTTTAAAAGAGCCAAGTGTAGAGGTGTCTGGCCCTTATGGTTCCGTGTGTCGATCTTTACCGGATGGTACTTTCCGTCGCTCAACTCGAATAACATCCTCGCCAACTCTTCGTCGTCGTTTTTTGTCATGCAAATTGTGTGCAAAGGAGTTGATCCCCATCTGTTGGCCGAATTCGGATCGGAGCCATTTCTCAACATCAATTCGGACAGCCGCATGTGGCCGTTAGCCAGAGCCAAATGTAGTGGTGTTTGACCGAACTCGTTCTGAGCGTTGATGTCCAACGGCTGATATTTTTTGTCACTGCGCTCGAATAACATCTTTGCCAAGTCATAAGGGTCGCTAGATATTTTGCATACAATATGGAGAGAAGTATCCTCGTCCCTATTAGTATAATTGGGATTAGCGCCATTTTCCAACAGCAATTCGGCCAACTTCTGTTTTTTATGAATCAGAGCATGATGCAGAGGTGTATTTCCCATCATGGTTCGATCGTGAACTCGCAACGGCTGATATTTGGCGTTGCCGAGCACGAATAACATTTTCGCCCACTCGTAACAATCTTCGCGGGCGTCTTTGCAAATAACCTGCAGAGGTAACAGTCCGTTTATGTTTTTTACTTGCGGATCCGCGCCGTATTTCAGCAGTATTTCGGCCACTTCTCTTCTGTTATGAATCACAGCCAAATGCAGAGGGGGATTGATGGACTTTTGCACGACCAGATCGGGATTTTGACCGAACTTGAGAATTTTCTCGACGACGTCTTTGCGTCCAATCACGCAGGCCGTGTAGAAGAAGGCGTCGATGTCTTTGTCGTCGATGGCGTTTAAATCTAAGCTTTCAAAATTTTCCGGGAGTCCGGGGAGTAATTCTCCTAAATTTGGTTCGACGTTGTAGTAACCCATTGTTCTGCACAATCACACTAAAATATATTATCAAATAGTTGTCTCATTGCATTCGCAATGCTGCTCACGTAGTACAATGTGTCAAGATTTTTTAGCCTTGGCTAAACGAACAGCTCAGACAGAATAATTTGACTATTATTTCTTCACCTCCTGCCTAGTTTTTTCGTTTAGCCAAGGCTAAAAAATCCTGACATACGGGTCATTTCACGTCAAGTCTCCAGCGGTGCGCGCGAGCGGCCTTATTAAGCCAAATGGCTCAATTTGTAACTCGTCAGAAAATTATCTAAATGCACCTAGAAAAAATATGAGCCACATGATTTCGATTGGAAATTACCTCAGCTTTCCGATGGTGAGGTCAGATTTTCAAAAATTTTCCATTTTCCTCGAAAAAATTGCCGGAGAACTTTCAAAGTCGAATATCTCAAAAACGGCATTTTTAAGATTTTTCTAAGTAGTCTCAATCAAAAGCTCAGAAAATTTCCTATCGATATGCAAGTTTTCAAAGAATGGTATTGATTATATTACTTAGTGAAATACAGCGACGAACGTGTAAAAACGCGACTTTTCGGCCGACGCGGCAGCTATTTCGGCTCGCAGTGCCCCGCACGGCGCTGAATCTCACGTTTATACACGTTCGTCACTGCATTTCACTAAGTAATATAATCAATACCACTCTTTGAAAACTTGCATATCGATAGGAAATTTTCTGAGCTTTTGATTGAGACTATTTAGAAAAATCTTAAAAATGCCGTTTTTGAGATATTCGACTTTGAAAGTTCTCCGGCAATTTTTTCGAGGAAAATGGAAAATTTTTGAAAATCTGACCTCACCATCGGAAAGCTGAGGTAATTTCCAATCGAAATCATGTGGCTCATATTTTTTCTAGGTGCATTTAGATAATTTTCTGACGAGTTACAAATTGAGCAATTTGGCTTAATAAGGCCACTCGCGCACACCACTGGAGACTTGACGTGAAATACCCCATATATATGAATAAAATGCACTTGGCCACAAAATTATGTCAACAAAAAATTTCATCGAAATTTTGTCGATTTTCAAATGCTTTATCTTGGGCTATATTTATCGTATCGACACGAATTTTTTATTTTTGATTTCTTGGAAATGTCCTCTTTAAAACCATATATACTATGATAAGATTAGAGTCAATATCGAGTTACCACTAGTATTTGAACGCAACACTAAAAATTACTGAAAAAATTGATTGTTTGAACGTGTACTAGTGCCACAGTAATTTTTTTATTGAAATCTAACATACACCACCGCAAAGTACTCTTTTTAACAAGTAATTTAAAAAAAATTGAGCTCTCTACAATTTTGTTAACGCCGTGTAGGTCGTTTTGAAATTACCATTTAAAGTACGTAAAACCCTTCGTTTAGCTGAAATCAACAAGAATTTCTGGGCATTTTGCGTACAAAAACTGTACCTTCAAAACGACCTACAGGGCGTTAAAAAAGTCGTAGAGAGCTCTATTTTTTTAAATTACTCATTGAAAAGAGTACTTTGCGGTGGTTTATGTGAGATTTCAATAAAAAAATTACTGTGACACTAGTACACGTTCAAACAATCAATTTTTTCAGTAATTTTTAGTGTTGCGTTCAAATACTACTGGTAATTCGATATTGACTCTAATCGTATCATAGAACGGAAGAGCTGGATGTGTTGGCATGTGAGGTAAATTGGCAAAATGGCATATTTCTCTTTACCAATGACTTGAACCGAGATTTTGCCATTACATAAAAATAATACATATTATGATGCTATCCCTACTGATAGTATCATCTTTATACAAGTTAGTGATAAGGAGAAATATGCATTTTTGCCAACTTACCTTACATGCCAACACACCCCGCTCTCCCCTATATATAGATTTAAAGAGGACAAAATTTTCAAGAAATCACAAAAAAAAGTCGTGTTGATACGATAATTCTAACCCAAGATAGAAGCATTTGAAAATCGACCAGGAGTAGCTCGTACGGACACACACTCGAACTTGACGCAGAACTAGGCTATAATATACGCGTCGCTACGCACGGACCAGCACAGAGTGATCTCGCTGTCTCTCACACGTAGGCCCGTCAGTCAGATCAGGCCTCCCTCCTATGACAGCTTTTCGTCTGCTCTCTCCATTAGGCGCGCGAATCTTACGCACGGGTCGCGCGTCTCTCGCTACGAATTCGGCGCTCTTGTGAACGGCGCCGATCCAGATTACATCGGGCTCGCGATACTCATACGTCTCTCTCGACACGGGTCAGGATTAGGATACAAGGAAGGAATACCGCCGGACTCTGTACTGGCGTCCACTTCCTTACAACCTTTTCGGCCCAAAACGACCCAAACAACACGTCACTCTTCGAAGCTGTACAGTTAACGCAATTGGCGTTAGAAAAAAATGCGACCTACATATTTTTAAAATTTGAAAGCTCTCTTTTTCAATGGTGGTATTTAAATTGTGCTAAAAAGTTATTAACGTGGTGAAAAAACCGCTGCCACTTTATTGGCAAAGAGCTTCCTCATAAAAAATAATATAAACAAAAGGCATCGTTTATTAACGTGAAAATTCGCATTTTTAAATTTTGATTCACTGTCTAGTGTCCTAAGTACCAGTAGATCACGACCATCAGGACTACTACATTTCTATGTTAGCTAAAAGGCCAAGAAAACAAAAACTTATACAAACATTTGTTGGTAATTCAATGTAGTTTCCAAATATATAAACCAAATTGTCCTACGAGGTCTGGTCCAAAATCTCGTTTTCGAGCCTATCACAGAGCTTCCTCTATGAGGAAGCAATTAGTTTAAGGAGGTTCAGGGGTCTCGTTCAAAATGCAGCCAAATTTTTAAAAAAAATTTATTCGCTTTGAAACTTTATATAATGAATGTTTAAATCATAATACAAATTTTCACTGTAAAATTTTGTTAAAATGATAAAAAAAAAAGGTTGACCTTTTAACGAGAAATCATGAATTTTCGACTTTCAATGAGCATAAACATAATGTAAAAAAACAAAAACTAAATAGAAAAAAATACCTACATTTAGGAAATTTAATAAGGAATAATAAGACTGCAAAAAAAAGTTCATCGACCGTTTAGTTATCGAGAAATAAATTGTTATGTGTAAAAATTCATGGGTTATTTGTGCGTATCCTAACCAATAAATGAGCTAGAACAACAAAAATATGTGCTTATTGGACTCTAATGGCAAATAGAATATTGTTTCACGCCTAAAACATCGAAAAAAACTCATCAAAATGATATAATTATTAGTAATAGCTATAATTGTGTGCCAGTTCATTGAAAAAACCTATAATTTTGTGTTATTTCGAAGTTGGCAGGTCTGGTTTTTTAACACGGTGAACATAGGAGCCCCTCGCGTCCCGCTCCGTCCTCCTCTGAGACCCCCGAACCTCTTTAAACAAAAAAAGCCACAATTTTTTTCACGTTTTTTTGTTTTTAAACCAAATTTCAAATGTGTTTCGAGTATGCTATGACCTTGGAAACGCATCAAACCGTGGCATAAATGATTTACCTTTAAAATGACTAGGGCTGTGCGAGTACTCGAAAAAACTCGACTCGTCGAGTTCGAGTCGAGTACTCGATTTTTTGAGTACTCGAGTTTTTTCGGGTACTCGCGTTTTTGTCGAGTACTCGATATTTTTCGGGTACTCGAATTTTTTCGAATAATCGAGTTTTTCGAGTACTCGCAATAAATTTAAGTTTTAGTAAATAAATGATAAATTAAGGAGATCTGGACCCCACGTTTTTATCGACCGAGACACGCAAAGTTTCTTTTATTTTTAACTTTTTCTGTAATCCTAATTTCGGTAAATGGCTCTATGGTGTTCTTCATTTCGTCGCTAAGAATAAGTAGTTAAAATTACAGCCCAATCCATTGAGCAGATTTCCCGGAAAACTGGATTGAAAATTTTGATCAAGCCATGGATCAAAAGTCAGGATCAAAAAATTTTAATCCAGTTTTCCGGGAAATCTGCTCAATGGAATGGGCTGTAATTTTAACTACTTATTATTAGCGACAAAATTAAGAACGCCATAGAGTCCAACCACCATTTGTCGAAATTAGAATTACAGAAAAAGTTAAAAATAAAAGAAACTTTGCGTGTCTCGGTCGATAAAAACGTGGGGTCCAGATCTCCTTAATCATTAATTTTAATGTTTTTCCAATTTATAGGCATAAACGCAGGTGTGTCTCCTTAAAGAAATTAATCGTTTACATTATAGTCGACATAATGAAGGTTTCTGATAAGAAATTTCCATGGCCTGAGAACAAAAATCTTTATACTTTAATTTTCGACTCTTTTTTATCATAAATTTGTTAATTTTCATTTTAGCGATGAAAATCTTTCACAGACAAATACTTCAGATAATTGTACCCGTTTGCTTGACTTATCTGTAACTAGCGACCCCGTCGTGGTTTCGCCCACGTTCAATTTTTACGAAAAATGTGAAGACGTTAACCCAATATTTTTAGTTTTGTCTATTGGGATGTATATAAACAAATTCGACTGTTTGAAAGCTCTTAAACAAGCCACGTCAATAGCGTAGCAGAAAATGTCTAAATCGAGTCCACACACTTGTAATAACACATGTACATATCAAATACAATGTATGCCGATGGACCGCATGTAGGAAAAAACAACTGCTTTCGGTCTTTTTTATAACAATTGACAGGGCAAGGGGCGAGCGCGCGCGCGAAGTGGTGGAAAACGAAAAAAATTCTGAACTCAAAAATAAAGAAGTAAATAATGGTTTTAATATGATAGAAACTTGCGCAGTGGCATATTAAATGCATGGTAAAAATTTCAAGCTGCGTGTGCATGTCTGTGCGTGTCTGTGCATCTGCATCAGTAAAAATTAGAAAGTGTAACTCAAGTTGTACAGTAGGGTGTCCGTTATTTCCCGACTTTTTTGTATTGCTTCTCCCCCCACCTAGATGTCTTCTATTTGATAAGACAATGAGAAAGCCGGGTTATAGAGTTCGAAAAAATGATTTTAAGGTGGCCCCCAAGCGGCTTGAAGCTTACATGTATTTTAAATGGGAAAAACTTAAAAATTTGATTCTCAGCGATAAAAATGATGAAAAAATTTGAAAAAATTCAGCAACCCATGTATTTTATGTATTTTTTGACGAGGAATCGATTGGTGACCTTGAATTTGACCTTGAACATAACCTCAAAGCTACAGCGAACCAAAAATCGTTTTTTTCACAGTGACCCCCATTTTTTCTTGCAGATTCGAAAAGAGCGGAAAATTTCATGTCTGATTATGTCTTTCGATTTTTTTTCAAGGGTATTCAAAAGGCGCTGCAGATATAGATAAAGCCCTAACTAGTACAAATTCGAAAATTGCACGCTAAAATTAGGGTTTTATTTGTATCTGTAGCATCTTTATAATGCCCTTGAAAAAACATCAAAAGACTTAATTTGACTTGAAATTTTCCGCTCTTTTCGAATCTGCAATAAAAAGTGGGGGTTACCGCAAAAAAAACGATTTTTCTCAATATTTTGTTCGCTGTAGCTTTGAGGTTATGTTCAAGGTCAAATTCAAGGTCACCAATCGATTCCTCGTCAAAAAATACATAAAATACATGGGTTGCTGAATTTTTTCAAATTTTTTCATCATTTTTATCGCTGACAATCAAATTTTTAAGTTTTTCCCATTTAAAATACATGTAAGCTTCAAGCCGCTTGGGGGCCACCTTAAAATCATTTTTTCGAACTCTATAACCCGGCTTTCTCATTGTCTTATCAAATAGAAGACATCTAGGTGGGGGGAGAAGCAATACAAAAAAGTCGGGAAATAACGGACACCCTATTGTACAGGGGCGTAACCTATTCCTAGACATATGTTAAGAGTAATATAGTCGCAGATGGTGGACACTCGAGGGACCCATTACGTGACTGAACTTGAAATTTCTACTCGTTATCGTATTAAATGACCATTACTGTGCACACAGCTTTACTTGTAACACTTAAATCTTTTATAGATGAAATAGCCTTAATAAGGCGTCTGCTTTGCCACGAGTTTCTAACATTTCTCTTAAAATCACTTGCGAGTCTGTGTGTATTGCTCAGTCAACTTCATCGACGCGTAATACATCGCTACTAATTTTATCTCTCGAAGCTTCGATGGCCATGTGTTTTTTTGGCTTAGTTCGTAGTGTGCATGCATTCGTAACACGTCTCAACGCTGCAGCGTGAGGAGCTATAGGAAAAATTTCATCGAAAAGTGTAAAATAAAATTTATATTATAAGAGATCGTGTGTGTTATCAGTGAGTGCGCAGAACAATTTTCAACGATTAATCCAAAGTAACTTTTTACGGTGTTGGCCAGTCCGATTACAATTCGTAAAACATGGATACGGATTATTACCATGGCCAACTCAACTTGGCAAAATTGGAGATTTTACGAGAAAAGATGAATTGGGAGATTGAACGGGACAGATTCGAAGTTCTCTGTGAACTCGACAAATTGTTTAGCGAATGGAGGGGCCAACTTCCGAATCTCCGAGACATTTTTTATCCCCAAGAAATCGAGTGTCTTCTCTCGGAGGTTGTAACGGAGAGAAAGAAGAACATAGGAAATCGACAGAGCCAAAGAATCGTTGAATTCGTGGCTCGCAGCGGCTACAAAGACGAGCCCGAAGTCGATAAAAACGGCAAGCCACTGCTGCGTCGCATCACACCGATACATCTCGCGTCTGGAATCAATTTTCCTAATCGCAATGCCATCCTCCGCGAGCTCTTTAAAATATATGACAGGTTTGACGTGAACTATGTCGACGAAGATGGATTTACACATTTTTACGCGGCCTGTCAATTAAACGAGACCGATATCGCCGAAAAATTTCTCGAGCTCGGCCAGGACCCCAATTGCCGCGTGGAAAATTCGGAAAAGAGATTGTGCGATCCGCCACTTCCCATGGCCGTGCTGCACGGCCTCAAGGAGATGGTCAAATTGCTGCTAAGAAGCGGCGCCGATCCGGATTGGGCCAATGCGCGCGGAATGACAACTCTGCACGCAATTGG